TTATACATACAGGCCAAATGAAGCCATAGATGGAAAGAGACAGAAATTTCCAAGATGGATAGAATGATCAAGACAAAAAGGAGTTGAAAAGACACAGAGAACAGTTTTGCATCACTCAGCTCTCTTCAGAGATATTAATATTCTACACCAAGAGTCCACACTCAAGGTTATTCTCACTCTAAATTGCTGAAGATAAAAAAGCTCCTCCTTATTAGCATTTGTGGGTAAAACCTGGCTAATCTTATTCACACTTATCCCTCTCGCTGTGACATCCTGGCCTCTGTTTTCACTTTTTTCCCTCCAAAAGGTCACAACCTCATTTTCATGGTATTTTCTTGCTTAAATCTGCTTACAATGCACAGTTTCTGAAAAATAAGCGCCGCATAATTGCTGTTCTGGAAAAATAAGCACTGCATCATAGAATAATGGCAAATTCTCTCTGTTATTAAAGCTGCTATGTATTTGCTTTTCGGCTTGTTTGTTTCTTAGACATTCTTAAATATTTTCAAATCCAATCAAACTTTAAATCCAGTGCTAAGTAAATGTGGATATTTTTCTATGTTATTTATTACTTTTTAAATGTGTAATGTAGCACTTTATTAACTCCCATGGCTGTGTATATATATCGAAGTTGGTATTTAGCCACACCATGTTGGTGTTTCATTTATTCATTTATTCATTTTCTTTTCGGCTTCATTCATTCATTCATTTATTCATTCATTCATTCATTCGTTTTTTTGGCTTAGTCCCTTTTTTTAATCCAGGGTCGCCACAACGGAATGAACCACTAACTTATCCAGCACGTTTTTACGCAGTGGATGCCCTTCCAGCTGCAACCCATCTCTGGGAAACATCCACACACACTCAATTACACTCATACACTACGGACAATTTAGCTATTTCAATTCACCTGTACCACATGTGTTTGGACTGAGGGGGAAACCGGAGCATCCGGAGAAAACCCACACGAACACAGGGAGAACATGCAAACTCCACACAGAAATGCCAACTGACCCAGCCGAGGCTCGAACCAGCGACCTTCTTGCTGTGAGGCGAAAGCACTACCTACTGCTCCACTGCGTCACCCTTGGTGTTTCATAACATCTCATTTTTACGAGGTGGGTTGTTAGCCCAATGCTCAACCCTCAACCTGGAGGATCAAGACATACACACATACACTACGGACAATTCAGCTTAACCTATTCACCTATAGCGCATGTCTTTGGAATTGTGGGGGAAACCGGAGCAACCAAAGGAAACCCACATGAACACAGGGAGAACATGAAAATTCCACACAAAAATGCCAACTGACCCAGCCGGGACTCGAACCAGCGACCTTCTTGCTGTGAGGCGACAGCGCTGCCCACTGCACCACCATGCCACCCCAATGTAGCACTTTGTGAATGTAAAATATCTGCAGGATTTAAAGAAGATCAAATGGATGAAAGAACTGAAAGGAAACAATGTGTACTGTGGCAGAAATGACACCACTTCAGCTCCAGAACAACAACAAATAAAAGATGATGAACGAAAACTACAAAGTTCTAGAAGATCTAAAAATCAAGTGTATTACTGGCTTAATACCTTGCACATCCCATCACACTGACAGATTTATGTTTTCAAATAATTGGGCTGGTTTACACAAACAGAAACATCTATTATTATTCACTCACCATCATGCCATTACAAACCTGTACTTTCTATCTACACTACCTGACAAAAGTCTTGTCGCTTATCCAAGTTTTAGGAACAACAAATAATAACTTGACTGCTAGTTGATCATCTGGTATTAGAAGAGCCTCTAGATTGCGCTTATTTTACCAAAACAAAATATGATCATGACATGATGGTTTTTAATTATTTAATTAGGACAATAAGGTCTGATTTGCTTAGACAAAAGTCTTGTCACTTAACAGAAATAATGTACAGTATAGAATATAAAGTCATGGTGCAGTGGAAATGGGAGTGTATGACTCCCATGAGTTTGGAGGACTGCATCTATATATCTCTGCAATGGCTCAAAGAACTTATTAAAAAAGTCATCTGAAATGGCAAAGAATGTGCTCTAGCAGAACTCCCAGTCCCAGAGATCATCAAGACTCTTTAAATTCATCTTTAATGCCTTCTCTTTCATCCTACCCCAGACATGCTCAATAATCTTCATGTTTGGTGACTGGGCTGGCCAATCCTGGAGCACCTTGACCTTCTTCGCTTTCAGGAACTATAATGTGGAGGCTGAAGTATGAGAAGGAATAGTATTCTGCTGAAGAATTTGCCCTCTCCTGTGGTTTGTGATGTAATAGGCAGCACAAATGACTTGATACATCAGGCTGTTGATGATGCCATCCACTCTGCAGATCCAAATCATGATTTTTACTTCAGCAAACCTGACTGATTTCTGTGAGAATCTTGGGTTTAATTTTCTGCAGTATTTGTGATGATTGGGATGCAGTTCAACAGATGATTCTTTGGAAAAATATGTTTTTTGATAAACTAGAAGTTAAGTTATTATTTGTTGCTCTTTCAACTGGGATCGACGGCAAGACTTTAGTCAGGAAAGGTATTTGTATTTATATTGTAGGCATAGGACGATAACCGCTTTCAAGGTATACTATGGTTTGGAAAAGTGAAGGTTTTAAAAGTGCCAAAATATTCCGTAATATCGTTCCTAAGGTATGTGTAAGATTTTTTATCTACTTTTTTTTTGTTTGTTTGTTTTTTAGGACAACAGTATCTCCAGCAGAAAATATATCCAAATATGACATTTTAAATTATAAAGAAATCTTTGTTTAAAACTATGAAGACAGCAGAAATCAACGATTCATTTTAATTATTTAACCTAACATGTTTACTGTCCCAAAATATTTTAAATCTTTAAAAAAATTAAATATATTGTTTTCAAAGGGGAAAACACCCAGACATTTAAAAAGAATATATTTTAGAGCAGTAATCACAATACTATGATAACGTGAAAACATGAAATTTTTATCCAAGGTTTTTAGAATCTTATTTTTATAAGTCATTTTTGGCACATTTTTATTCACAAGCACATATTCTTATTCATATTCAATGAAAAGAAAACGTGTCTGTGTCTAATAAATTCTTTAAAAAATGGAATTTAGATTTCCATTAAATCTTGTTTTCTTGGTGCAAATCACATTTTTTTGTTACTTTTAGTTTAATAATAAAAAATCAAATGCACAGCATGGTCATGAACAGAAGACATACTGTGTATCAAAGGTTGAATTGTCACATTTGTATCCACACCAAATAAACATACAATTCTGATGTTATATACAGACAGCATAAATTCATGAAAAGTATTTATTTTGACGTTCTTATGTTTTATTCTGATATCCATTTAAAAGTAATGTTAAATAATTAAAAGCAGACAAAAACCTAGAGGAGCTGCTGTGCAAGTTATGATTTTGCCAAGGCGATCCTTGATTAACATCTATGTCTATATTTAATTGGCTGAATCATAGAAAAGCTGATTTAAGGTCATGGGTAGGGTCGAATTGAGATTGTGATTTTTTTTATTATTATTCGTGCAGCCCTACTCTAAAACAGTGGTTCCAAAACTGTTTGCACCCCTTTCTAATATTTATTACCTGTCAAGCACTCCTTTCTCTGATTAAACTTAATATTTTTAACTACAATAACTAAATACACATATTTTCTGTATACATGATTAAAATAAAAATAATAAAATACATGAATTTAATGGACCAGCTTTTATAAAGTTGACAATTTTCACAGCGTCATTAAGTACAGACAAAAGTTCATCTGGCATGTTTTTCATCGCTAGAGCTTCTCGGTGGATGCTGCAGTGTACTTAGTAAACCGATGCTGCAACTTTTCGGATGAAAGCTACTTCTCCTTTGTGCATTTTTCTTTTTCTGTAGTTCCTCCAATTTTCCTTGACAAAAAAACTTATCCATGTCTTGTAAGTGGCTGTGTGTTGTTCGTAAGTGCCGGACCATTTATGAGGGCTGAAGACTTCTATTAGCTAAGACCTCACTACAGATTTGGATTTGGATTAGGGTTGCATCTCCAGTCCATGTAAACCCGAAAACAATGTAACTGTCACTATATTTGAGTTTCTTACTTAACATTTTCTCACTCTCTAGCGTAGACCTGATTCTCTTCATCAGCACATCTCTGCTGGATTTCTCTGTTTCCACCTGCGCCTCTTCACCTCGTTCGTTATCTTCCGAGTTCATATATTCAAGGCCACTGCACATCTCCATAGAAGAGGCCGATGTAGATGGTTCATCCCTACTGTCACTTGACTTCTTTAATGTGCCATTTTTCAACCAGGTGTCCATTTTGATGAATATAGTAAGCGGGTAAATTACAAATGTACCATCACTTAGCGCCTAATGTGAAAGGGCGGGGCTATTGTGACGCAGACATGAAACCGTGAGTATGCATAGGTTGTAAATTACAATTTGTAATGTGATTTTTTTCTCTCTTTCTCATTTATTTTCTGCTCTAAACCCAACCATAACAGTAAATTATTTAAGAGGGGAATATCAGTTGGATAACACTAGAATTGCATAAAGCCTAAACTTAACATAAACAGCAAACATTTCCCTTAATTCTGATTAGCTGAATGGAATGTTGTTCCAGAATCAACATAGATGTTGATCAAGGATCATTTCCTACTCTGTGAAATCAAGTTAGGGGAGCTGCTGCACTGTGATTCTTTGATATATCATTTAAATAAGTCATCAAATAATTCTTAAATGTTCCTGACCAAATTGTTTCTTCTGTAAATCAAGTTTGTGTCTTTTTTTGTTTGTTTTTTATTTATTTTTTTGCTCAGAAAAAAATTATAATAAACAGAACATTCTAACATCCAAAAAAAGTGATGACTGAAAACCTCATCAACCCCTTGACAAACAAACATTTAACGTTGAGCCAGGCTTTGTAATGTCTCAGTTGCATTTGGGATGACTTGGCTCAACATGTGTTTAAGAGGGGGAACTGACACTTACCCATGCTGGAGGTGATGTCACCATTCTCAGAATCTGCGCTGTGGTTATTATTGCCATGGTAACTGTTCATCACTTCCAATTTGATCTTCTTCTTCATGGCTTCAGCGAGTGTCGCAGCTGTTAGGCCTGTCAGTGTATCAAGCATGAGAAAAAGAAAAAGTGTTAATTCACAGTCATCCTGTTTTGCCTTTTAAAAAAAAAATCCATTACTCCAGTCGCCTAAATCTTGTGAGAATAAGTGAATATGAGAACTGTTAACAGATTTACCTTCAAAAATGTGGCTCATTTAAATGCTTTTGTGAAAGCAATTATGAATATTTCACATCCCATAATTAAATTTAACAGAAGAGCACACTGGCACTGTAACATTAGATGATAACAACAGGTCTATTATTACCAACAGCGTCATCCTAAAGCTACGCTCACTCTCAAGGCTGTTCTGCTTCTGCCACGATCCTCCGTCAAACTAACATCACACACTATACTTGAAGAGCAGGTCCTGGATCAGCTGAATCTCACATCTGTAAGTTGAGATCTGCTTCCCATGCCAAACGCTGATAACTGAAGCAGCCGGCCCATTGTCACAAGTCTCCAATAACCCATGTTAACTGTGTGTGTGTGTGTGTGTGTGTGTGGTGTGTGCCCCCAGTGCACACATGTTATAATTCAATTAAAATTAGATTAGCTTTCCTTCATTGCACAGAGAGCTGCGTCTTGCCTCACAATTCATGTTGTTACATGTCACTTGTACATTTTCTCTTTAGCTAGCTTTAAAAAAAGAACAAAATCATTCAAAATGAAGGCTTTTCAAGCATTAAAACAATAAAAAGTGTCTTCAAATGTGCCTTCAATTTAATTAAAGTTATATTTTCAGAATTAAAATCAGATAGAGCTTTATTGCCAGGTATGTTCACACATATGAGGAATTTATTTTCATGACAGAGCTTCTACAGTGCAACAGAATTACAGAGACAGGACAAAAAATTGATAATAAATATATTTTAAAAATAGAAATTGACAAGTGTATGTACAAGTATATTACTATATACAACGTTAAATGTGCAGCTGTTATATGCAAATTGGCAAGTAAAGTGTGTTGTTAAATAAGTGTTTATGTATAATGAAATGTGTATAGCATGTCGGTTGCACAATTATTATCATCAAGTGTTCAAGAGATGGATTGCCTGAGGGAAGAAACTGTTTCTGTGTCGGGCTGTTCTAGTGCGCAGTGCTCTGTAGCGTTGACCAGAAGGTAACAGTTAAAAGAGGCAGTGTGGGTGTGAGCGGTCTAGAGTGATTTTGGCAGCCCTTTTGCTCGCTCTGGATAAGTACAGTTTTTGGAGAGTAGAGAGGGTTGTATCAATGATTCGCTCAGCAGTCCGAACTATTCGACATAGTCTTCGAAGGTCAGATTTGGTAACTGAGCTAAACCAGACAGTTATTGACATGCAGATAACTGATTCAATGATTGAGATGTAGAGCGGTTTCAGCAGCTCCTTTGGGAGCTCAGCTAATGAAGAAAGTACAGCCTTTGTTGAGCTTTTTTGACAATGGAGTCAATGTGAGTGTCCCACTCAGGTCCTGAGAGATGGTGGTGCCCAGGAACCTAAATGACTCCACTGCTGCCACAATGCTGTCCATGATGCTCAGTGGGGAAAGAGCAGGTGGGTTTCTCCTGAAGTCCACTATCATCTCCACTGTTTTGAGTGTGTTGAGCTCCAGGTTGTTGTGACTGCACCAGACAGCCAGCTATAGACTTATATAGATTTAGATTTAATGTGACAATACTTACACAAAAGTTTACACTGAAACACTAACTCATTGTCACATTAAATCTCTAAGGACTATCCCATTAATCAATTAGCATATAATAATATAAATGTAATTAAATATAGTCTCACAGTCATATCAGCATAACCAAAAGATTGATCTTCTACACTCTCAAAAACAAAGGTATAAAATCTGTCACTGGAACATATGTAAAAAGAAGGCTTTAGCTGTAGAAAATACACTTATTGTGCTCACCTGGCTTTTAAAGAGAATTAGCAATTTCTCCTCAACTTTTTACTTTACTTTTTACTTTTCGACCCAGTTGTGGTATTGCTCAGATGACATGTCAGACAGACACAGGTGCTCCTGCCAAATTAACACTAGTTTTTCCTCAATTTCTTGGCTACAAATAAACTGAAAATAAGTGCTTTTGACTTCTCCCCCAGTCTCCCACTGGCCTGCAGGTACCCATACTAGTGGATGCTGCTTTCTCATAGGCTGTAGGTAATCACCTGTTTTATTTTCAATCAGAAAACATTTCACACAGGATAACTTGAATTGCAGACAGCTCCAGATATTAAACATGCCAAACATCTCATCGGTGACTCATCAGCGATTCGCTCAGATCGCATCTTTGATAGTTCACACTGTGTGATTGTCACTCACGTAAACGACCACTGATTTGCCTGTGACTTTAGGCCCTTGTCAGCGATCTCTCAAAACCTGTTGGCGAATCAAAATTGGGGCTGAAATCATGCAGTCTGAACTCAGCATTAGACTATTAATAGGGGTTTGGTATTGAGCTGATTGAATAATAGAATGATTAAATTTGTTTACAAAACATCACATGGTTTAATTACAAAGTGAAAAAAACTAATGTAATTGTTATAATTATGCACATAGTTCATTTATTGACCATTTTATTAGTCAAGGTTTTGATTAAGGTTTTGCTCAACTTTTCATAGAAATTTAACCAATCACTTTAAAAGCCATACATTTTAAAAATACATTTTACAGTGTATATGAACCCTTTAACAAATGTGTACCATTTGAAAAAAGTACCATCCTAGTAACAACTTGTTTAACCTTTATTTCTGATAGAGCACTTACTTTGTGATTGGAAGGTTGTTATAAAGCTCTCATGTTCACTGGAAGTGTTCAAACATGAAAACTCCTGTATATCCATTCATTCATTCATTCATTCATTCATTCATTTTCTTTTTGGCTTAATCTCTTTATTAATCAGGGGTCGCCACATCGGAATTAACCGCCAACTTATCAAGCATATGTTTTACACAGTGGATGCCCTTGCAGCCGCAACCCAACACTGGGAAACAACTATACACTTTCATTCACATACATACACAACAGCCAATTTAGCTATTCACCTATACCGCATGTTACTGGACTGTGGGAGAAACCGGAGCACCCGGAGGAAACCCACACCAACACAGGGAGAAAATACAAACTCCACGCAGCCAACTGACCCAGCCAAAGCTCGAACCAGCAATCTTCTTGCTGTGAGACGATCGTGCTACCCACTGCGCCACTGTGACATCCTCCTTTATATTATAATTCTTGTGTGTGTGTGTGTGTGTGTGTGTGTGCGCGCGCGTGTGTGTGTGTGTGTGTGTGTGTGTGTGTGTGTGTGTGTGTGTGTGTGTGTGTGTGTGTGTGTGTGTGTGTGTGTGTGTGTGTGTGTGTGTGTGTGTGTGTGTGTGTGTGTGTGTGTGTGTGTGTGGTATATATATATACCCTTTTTAGAAAATCCCAAAAGCTGTTCTCTGAATGTACTGCTTCTGGTGAACTACTGTCAGGTAAGACATAATTTATTAAATAATACTGAATCAACACCGTTTTGATTTCACTCATACACAGAGAGCATTTGATCAGTTCCTGCAGTACACCATTGTATTTACAAAAGCCATACTTTCTATTAAATAACTATTGCACTTCCCAAACACCAATATCTATCTATCAAAAACCATGAAATCTCTCCTTTCAAAATCTCCGCTCTCGCCTGAGCAAACAGTTCTAGAACTTTGGCATTCGCTGGCATTTGGCTGCAATTCACAACAGTTATGTGCAAATATGAAGCGCGCTCTGGCAGTGAGCTTTAGGAGCGGGGTGTTTTTTTTCTCACTCTCTCAGTTGCTCTCCAAATGCTTTCACTAAATGTCAAGATCAGAGCATGAAAGCCAAGGTCCCTATTCAGCCTGTGAAGAGGACGATATCAAAGCATTCCCTACTCTCAGTCTGCAATCCACTCAAAGAGGGAAAAAAACGGTCCTCTCTCTCTTTCTTTCTATCTCCCTAGTGGCCTTTGAGTTCCCATCTCTGTGGCTGACATTGATAGTGTGACCTCTGCTGAAGATAAAAGAGGCCTGTGCTATTGAGCATTTTCTTTCTCCCTCCAACTCTTTCTCTCGCCGTCACCTGCTCTTTCTAATCGAGTACAAATGCGCAGGCCTTTTTTGGGGCTCTCTTTGAGAAGTCGTAACGAGCAGACTGTGCGTGCGCACGCACAAAGAGAAGGGCAGCTTAGAAGTCGGGCAGCAAATGTGTATTTAGCTTCACATACAGGGTGGACAGAAGTTGGGATGCTTTAAACGAAAGAGCTGACACCACAGAGGCTGAGGTGAACATATCTCCAGGCACAATATAATAGGGTTTAATCACAATATCACAACACAATAAAGGGCAAATTAGAGTTGGCAAGATGAGGTTGCATATACCTCAGGGCAAACTTGCATTTGGAGTGTGAAAACAATACTTGTGTTTTGTTGGCTTTGGGCTTTGCCACAGCACAGCATGAGTCAGATTGTTTATTTGCGTCACTTCAGATAAGTGATGTTTAAAGTGACTGACACAGAAGTATAACAAGCTGCAACTGGTCTGTAAAATAAGCACCATTTCAAGCATCTGAATTAAAAAGTGAAAGAAAGCTAACCCTTTATACGAGTGAGAAGGTAGTTTTATGTTTAAATATCCTCATCCCAACTTAACATACATAATTAAGTCATTCATGGGGGTTTCTCCTCATAAAAACCTTAATATAACGGCTGTTTTACACCGCAAGCGTCAGCGGCGCGTGAGCAGAGCGTGAGCAGCGCGTGTGTTTTCGGCGTCCATGTTAACAGATTAGAGCTTTCATACCGCACGCAGCAGCAGCGCGTCAGAGCGAGGCGTGAGCGTCGCCGAAGCAGCAGTGCAGCGATAGTTTCGGCGCTGGGTCTATTTTTGACGCGCTGCTCACGCTCAATTAAAGTGACAGTGCATTGATAATGACCAAAACTCATTGAATGACAGTAAAAAGTAGCAATTTTACCCAATAAATGCGCTAAAAATGTCAACTGGTTTATGTATAGTCATTCAAATTAACTTAAAACGATTTAAAACGGCAACAAACATTTATTTAGGCCCGAACTACAAAACCAAATGTAAAACAATTTTAGTATCAGTTTTGCTTAAGTTGCACACTAGTGTTGTAGGAGAGAGGAAATAGAATATTTTCGGGATTTGTAGTCCATGGTGAAGTGTTTTGTGGGTAGTGTAGTTCGACAGGCATGCTGGATGATGTGAGCTCGCTGTGTTCTGTGCAGCTGAGCAGAGGAAGAAAGTTTTAATCAGCTTTGTTTTATGTTCACTCGAGTTATTCCTACCGGGAGCTGTTTGCACTGTGAATCGGACAACACGAAAATAAGTAAAAGAATGGCATGCATTGGTTACTTTTGTCCATCTCATCCTCTGCACGAGCATGAATTAACGAGCTGTTTTTCTGCCGCTGGACATCACTGAAGCGGAGAAAGTAACACTAGTTTGCTCATGTATAAATATCATTATAACTATATTTTATAAATATTATTATAACTAGGTCTACAGCAACTTGATAATAAAAAACAAATGACATGACATCACAGGCGATTGTCTTCTGACTGTAGACACTTCTCATATAAGTTAGATTAAGAAGCATACAGTACTATTTGATCTATAAAGTTTGTAAAATAAACATTTGCCGGTTAAAGAAATAGCATAGCAAGTGTATTTGTATATAGAGAGACATGTAACTAGATAGAATAGACAGAGATAGGTTGATCTCTGCAGCAGCTGCCGAAGAGCTGCACGCTGCAGACGCAGCTGGTGTGAAAGGCAAACGCCTGCATGCTGCTTCTGCTCGACATACGCGCTGCGCACGCTCTGCTCACGCGCCGCTGACGCTTGCGGTCTGAAACAGGCATGAGTGGCTTTCAGATACAGGTTGTTATAGAAACTTGGTCATAGGAATTAGCTACCTGCATAGGATCCATGGTAAAAAATAAATCCCTTTAGGAACTCTGAAGTGATGTAAGCTGGACAACATCAACATCATGTACGAATGTCCCTATTGGCTATACAGAGCTCAAACTAAGCATTGTTTGTTTTGAGTATACTGTCCAATCCAGGAAGCAACATTGGACAATAGTGTGGATGTGGCCAGTGCTCTCATTTTAGTCAACATTTTAGAGTGTTTGGAAAACCTAATTCAAAAACATTCTTTCAATCGTTTTCTCATTATTATCATTAAAAAATTTTCACATCTATTTAGTGATGCTAGAAAGGTAGAAATTACACACTTAAAATAATAGTGTAGTCATCATTTAGTCATCCTACACTTCCCAGCAGGCACAGGATGTCAATATGACATCAGATTGATTTTGTACCCAAATGTTAGGGAATGTTGCGTTTTGTTTGGAAATGAAAATTGGGAAAACTCCAAATAAACATTGCATTTTGGCTACTTTCTAACACAACCTAAAAAACAACAAAATATCAATGTCTAATGATGTTACAGCTGTTGGTACGTATGGATGCCACCAATATGACGTCTATCAAATGTTGGATTTTGGTTGCCATAACTGAAGAATTAATGTCAGTATTTGATGTCAATATCACGTTGGTTTAAGATGTTGGCTCAATGTTGAATTTCTGTCACTTTCCAACACAACCTAAAATCAACAAAATATCAACGTCGTTTCAAACTAACATTGTCCTTAGACACTGGCGACTTAAATCCAACCTAATATTAATGTCTTATGACGTTGTATGTCTGCTGAAATGTTTCAAATCAGTTTAAGATTCTTTCCTCTTTTGAACACAAAACAAGATGTACTGAACATTGTTGGGGAAAAAAACTTAAAAAGGAATTTTTTATTTTTGGGTTAACTATACCTTCAAGCAGTAACCTCTCACATAAATCCCCATATTTTTAAAAGTGTTTGTCCTAACTATCCTCAAATCAACATTACAACCCACACATTGTATTTTCATTATATTTTCCATGTTCATCTGTGTTTTTGTACAAACCAGTTGTGATGGTGATAAACAACGAGTGACAAGACAATCTATGTTCAAAATAGTTTTTGTTTCTGGCTGACAGCTCAATGATTATCTCAGCTAATCGTTTTATTTGACTTTAAATATTATAATAAATGATTAATTTATAAATATATGACCATGGCGACGCAGTGGTGCAGTAGGTAGTGCTGTCGCCTCACAGCAAGAAGGTCGCTGGTTTAAGCCTCAGCTGGGTCAGTTGGTGTTTCTGTGTGGAGTTTGCATGTTCTCCCTGTGTTCGTGTGGGTACAGGTGAATAGGCTAAATTGTCCAAAGCATTTACCTGTACCACATGTCTTGGACTGTGGGGGAAACCGGAGCACCCGGAGGAAACCCACGCGAACACAGGGAGAACATGCAAACTCCACACAGAAACGGCAACTGAGCCGAGGCTCAAACCAGCGAACCAGCAACCTTTTTGCTGTGAGGCGACAGCACTACCTACTGCGCCACTGCTTCGCCGTATATATATATATACATACATGCTGGATAAATTGGCAGGACCCTCACATGATTATGACTATATTTAAGGGTAAATGACACCCTAGAGGTTAAAAATTTGAAAACAATAACATTAAAATAAATTGACATGTCTTTTATAAGCATGTAGTTTAAATACTGTTAAAAAAAAAGTTTTTCTATTACTTGTCTTATGCATTTATCCATTTAGTCTGAACTTCTAGACAGCAGTGTGCTAATGGGAAGAAAGTCCACCAGCGCACTCTCCTAATTGGCTTTGATTTGTGATTAATTATGTCGCATCATATAGTCTATCCACATCTGTTTTTGGAAAGACAAATTGCTTGTCGTTGGAACACATGGCAAGTCTTTGTTTAAACAATTAATTGACTTCTACCTTTTTTTATTCTCCTTTCACTTTTAATTCTGAATCCTGTTTTGATCATCTGAAATTCTGCTACTCATTTGGGATGAGATTTGTTAGTTCTGGCAGTAACTGTGCATTATCTTACCAGTGTGAGACATTAATCCTGAAGACATGAGTCCAGAGACGGAGTGGGGTAGGACATGAGGGCTGTCGGGTGATGTCACATTCTGGGTCCTTTTAGGAGGTCTGCCAGGTCTGGAGCTGAAAGATGAACATCAGATATCAGACAAGCACTTCCTTTCGGTTACATGCAACAACTCATCCAGAAGTCACTGCGCTGCTTGAACACTGTAAGTTGCAGTTTGGACGGTTTTGTTGATTATAATGGGAATGTTGTAGATTTACTGCATCACGTCACTCACTCCAAGAGTAAGACATGGCACAGAATGATTAGAAACCACCAAGTAGGCTTAAGGCTAGTTGTCAGCTAGGAAATTGCTTTCAAGACATGTCATTTTAATCAGCTAAACTATGAACGTGTTCCAAACTCATGAATGAATCACTCTCTTCATTATAATAGGTCAAACTGTTATGTAAAACAGATTTGATTTATTTAGACTGTTCAGTCATTCACTGTTGTGTCAGTTGTTTGCAACAGTTTCACAAAAAGTATATATTTTAAAAAAAAAACTATTTTACCCTTTTTCAAGATTTAATGCAAATCTTTTGTGTCTCTAGAATGTGCCTGCAAAATTTCAGCTCAAAAAGACTCATCAGATTATTTAATTTACCTTTCATAACATTTGAAATTTCTGCTTTAAACACAATGTGGCTGTTTTTGGTGCCTGTGCCTTTAATGCTTGTTCTCTCCACCCACTGTTCCCATGTACCTGTCAAGAGTGTGCCTCCATCTTCGCATCGGCTGCGTCAGATAAACAGCACAGTGACAGACATGAAGGAAGCCAATCTGACGTAATGTTTGTGAGAAATACTATAGAAAGAACTTTCCCAATAGCCGCGTTTCCACTATCGCGCCTAAAGCGAGCGAGCCAGGGCGAGCCAAGGCCAGTGGCGTTTCCTTTGTCACTTCCGGGGCCTAATCGGGCCAAAGCGGGGCTTTCTTGGGGCCAGCGGCCCGCCGAATACCTTGTGCCAAAGAGGGCCAGCCGAGGCTTCGGGGCGGAGTGAAAGGAGAGGCGGGCACAGTTTTCCGATCGCACACGAGTACATGCGCCAAACACATAAACAAACAAATAAATAAATAAGGGAAAGAAAACATCTGGAACAAATTATAGGCTGGGGTCTTTTTTGCATATGATCGCCCTTATGTTCCTCTTTTAAATGTAAGACTGTTGCATAAAATGATCTTTCTTTGCTGCATCTTTGATGTTTCAATAACGCATAATAATCTTTACACCATATTAAAGACACGGCTGACAGTAAAGGTTTTCAAGAGGTTTTGTCAAGTTTAATAAGTGTGTTTTTGCGCGTTTAGATGCCTGTGTATGTGTGTGAGACCGAGGAAAAGAGCGCTCCCTTCATAGCTCTGTTGATGCCGCGCTGCTTTTTTCTTTTATTTTTATTGTTTTAATTTATTTTGGTGATAATACACTATATGAATACAACAGTAAGACATTAAACTTTACAAATTTCATGTCCACTTTTGTAGGCTCAAAACAATAGTGTCATATCTAGATAAAATAGCCCTATATTGAAATAATTTAAAGAATTACAAATATCAGATAGGCCTATAATAAAATCACATTAAATAAATAAACCAATATAAAACTAACTAAAGCTATAGCTATAACAATTAGGTACTATATCAAACTGTTTCAAATTTATATTAAACTTTCATTTTTCAAAAGCCTCTTTGAAAAAAAGATTTTAGATATTTTCTAAATAAATAAACACCTGTGAATGTTTTAAATATTATTTATAAAGTATTTGGATACGATTAAATTAATCAAATCATGCAAACAGAGCATTTTCGGGGTGAGTGAACGCAGAAACTAGGCAACCTTTTTTTCTGTCTTTCAGCTGCGCAGCACTTTTTTGACGGGGAAAACTGCAAGTTCAAAATGTGTTCTGTGTCCTCAAACAAGTGTGTGTGTTTTATATGACGTGGTAAAATTAAAAAAGGAAATTTTAAATACATAAAGAGCTTTATTAGTGCATAGCTGCTGAGCGCAACGCAATATAGGCTTTATTTTATTACGTGCTGCTCTTATGTGCTGAAACACTGAACACTTTCCTTTACTTAAGATATAAGCAACATCTTTAAATAAAGGGAATCACCTATTAAGTGTCATAAAGCCTATAGGGAAAAATAATCATGTTTCAGTTCTCTCCGGAGCATTTGGGATGCATGTTGGACAGATTCTGTCTAGAGGATGTTATAAAATACATTTTATATCGAGTTATTAACGGAGAATTTTATATATGTGGTGTTATATTATGGATGTGTGCGCTCCCTGCGCTGGGTCCCTCCGTTGGTGGCAAGACCACTGGATTTCGATGCAAATAGTCGGTCATCGAGTAAATTAATATGATGAATGAAAACACACAGGCATGTGCGTATAGACATGCGTTGTACTGCTGTACAGTAACATGTCATTTGTTTGTTTTGGTTGTCCTAATTTTAATAGTTTCGTGATGATGTGATGGTGTGCTTTATCTGCATGATTCTCGCTGAAGTGGGCGGTTTGAGTGACGTTCGATTCAGGTGATGGTCAGGGGGCGGGGTTTGCGTGACGCGCTGAGAGCTACTAGCCCCACAGTGGAAACGTGACATGATTTCGGCCTCACTGCTCAACCTCTCGGGCGATTGGCCCGGCCTGGCCCGATTTAAGCCCTGGCTCGCACTGGCCTGATAGTGGAAATGCGGCTAATGATTATTCGATGTACTTATTGTGGAGTTAATTCAAGCCTTTCTGCAATGATGACTCACACACAATGTCGTTACAAAGTTCACACACACACACACACACACACACACGCACACACACACACACACACACACACAGCGAGCGTATTTAACTTTGCATTGTTTTTGCACGGCAAATATGACAAAATACACGTTAATATCCACTACAGTATGAATATTCATTATGTTAATGTACAAAATAAACTTGAATTAACATCCACAATCCGGGATTGAAGCATCTTTATTTATAAATGTACTGACATGCAGCTGTGGTGATAAAGTAAAGATGGTAAAATCACTGTAACTCATTACAAACATGCACTGTTTTAAAAAGGTTTTAAACTTGTAAAACTCATTTTTGGTCACATTTGATGATCACAGCAAACTGAACAGATCTTTAATCCCAGTTGCTTTGTGCAAATCCTGTTTTGTTGATATGATTTTACACGTTACTACAGAGACATGTTAATACGCGGCTGTCAATTAATTCGGTGGGTGGGAAAACTGCACTCCTTTGTCACGTTACGATGACTTAACATCAGAAAATTAAAAAAGAGACTTTTATAATAACCCCAATATGACTGTGGACACACCAAACCTACACACAGTTTTGTCTATACAGCTTACAAAAGAAAACAAAAAAGAGCATTGGATGACGTGGATATTTGCGCTGTAAAAAGAAGTGGTTAGTTACTTAACTTTTTAAAAAAGTAAATAAAAAGCCATAAAAGCTATTCACTGCCTATGTTAAAGTTAAAGTGGCTTAATTTGAATTTTAAAAGTTTGCAGATAGTTCATTTAATAATTTTAAGGTAATGAGTTTACTCACTTTGGCTTTATTAAAGGAAAAGAACATTTACATACAAAACAACAGTAAACATTATATACTTTTTTTACTCACTTTTTAGGTAAGTCAACTTAATGCTTTTTACAGTGTACCTACAATCCAGAATGCCTTATCTTGATTGTCAATTATGAATCAGCTCATGTATTTATGACGGTATGAAAAGTCATTTTTTGTATGAATGTCATTTTTTGTATGTCCATAATAATCCATTTGCAGAAGCCTATAAAATGATAGCATTATCCTCTGTCATATTTGCTTAAAATGTGTTCACATGTGAAGAAATATCTGTGCTAATCTTTATACTATCACTTTCCTCAAAAAAAGTACATTTCTGTATAATTTACATAAGATTCAACAATGTATTTGTGAGTTGGCTGTGTCCAAAGTCTTTAAATGACCTTGTATATCAGGGCAATTTAACATTGTTTTGAGATTTTTTATCATTTTTAAGATTTTAGGATTGCTTTGTTACAAAACAGACACTTAATTAGTATAAATGCTCTGTTTTCTTTGTTTAGTGTACAAAAAAATATATTTACATATGTGAGTAAAGTCAGAGTATGCCTGTTCCTCAGTGTCAGCCTTAAGAAGTGCTTGCACATCTTAAAAAGTTGCATAATTCTTAAGATGCATATTAAAATTACGCAACTTTTTAAAAGACGAACTAGCACATTGTGGTTATCAATTAGATAAGTAGCAATAACTAATGTGCTCACTTGCAGAATCAGACATTGCTGCTTTTTATGAAAGACATTTCCCTTAATATATTACGAAACCAGTGTTCCTTTGGGTCAGATTGTTTTCTCACCTTTGCTTTTAGTTGGGTTGTTCCACCTTACTTAGACTATCATAGAAAGACTATTTTGATACTGATTTGAGCATGACTGCTGTGTTCATATACAGCATAAATATATTACATAAAAACAAAAAATGTAAAAAAATAAATAGAAATAAATATATATATATATATATATATATATATATATATATATATATATATATATATATCCAAAGACATGTGGTACAGGTGAATTGGATATGCTTAAACTGACCATAGTGTGTGAGTGTGTGACTGTGTGTTTCCCAGTGATGGGTGATAGGCATCCGCTGTGTAAAACATATGCTGTATAAGTTGGCAGTTCAGTGGCAACCCTAGATTAATAAAGGCACTAAGCTGAAAAGAAAATGAATGAATAAATATATTTATACAACAAATCTGTCTGGTGCTTGAATCTGATTGGCGTATAGCTGTGCAATATTCTGCAAATAAAAGCACTAGAACAGCACTACAGTACGAGCACAGTGAAAATCAGAGGACACTACAGTTTGACAAATATTGCAGCTGTTGGACAACATAATGCACTTTTGAGGCTTTTTTAGTTGAGAATGTAGTTGTTTAGATTGCAACTATCTAGTTTATTTATATAGATAGTACCTGTTTTGAAATATTTATCATTTCGGAGCATCAAATTCAGTGCATTGGCCGCC